TCTCCCACACATTGCTTATTGTATAGAAATATGGGGACACACTTTTAGCACATGTTTATTTGCATACGATTTGAAAAATGGCCGCCATGCACACTCTCTGGATCATTACGCCTTATCAATATCACATCCATATCATACACGATCTGTAACCTCTGAGAAACTTGCCACACCACAAATTAATTTAAGTTCAACTAAGAAAAGTCTGACATTTTCTCTTGTAAAACATTGAAACGAGCTCCCAACTTCGTTAAAAACATTAACTTTACGAAACTCGTTCAAAACGGCATTAAAAAAATATCTTTTAACTAATGTATAAATACTTGCATTATTGCAGTATATGTATTAGTATTGTCTATTTTTGTTTTCTTCATTATTATTATTTATGAGAGTTTGTAGTCTCTTTACTTACTTAATTATGTATTTATTTTTAACTTAACAATATAATTTGTTTTGTGTATCACTATTCACAACAACGTATATTTTAACAGTTGAGTATGGTTTTGGGGCCAGGGACTAGATTAGTTCTGCTAGAACTACCTCTCTGGTCCCCACCAGGAATAATATATATATTTAATATTCATTCAGATAACGTTCCCTGTACAATTGTCTCTTTTTTCTGGTGAAATAAATCTATTCTAATTCTAATTCTTGCTGTCTGTGGACGATTTCTTCCATCAAAAAATCTGGAAATTGGGTCAAAAATGCTGAAAATCGTTACTAGTGTTTTCGTCAATTTCTCAAACAATTTCAGTCTGATTGACCTGCTATTTAGCATGTAGATACCATGGCTGGTCCTCTGTGTGGCCAGTTGATGTGGTAGTATTATCTTCAAATTCGTATTTTAAGTGAATCTTTTTCATGATTATTTTTTAATATTTTTAGTTAAAAGTGTTATTTTCTACCTCTTCCCCCAAACCACCAAATTGCTTCATATTTAGTATGTAGTGATCTGGATTGACCTCTCTCAAGGCTGTTTATCTCGTAATGATATTTTCAATTTGGTGCAATTGATGAATTTTTTTTTGATTTATTTTTCATTTCCTATGCATTCACAGAATGCATACTCCTAAGTGTAAACAGTGACCATCAGCTTTAATTTTGGTGTGAAGGTACCCTGTGGGGTAGAGATTGTCGATTAGATTAGACATTTTTGTCAATTTGTCAAAAACCATCAGTCTGATTAACTTTATATTTTGCATTTTATTTTTTTTAAACTTTTTTTGTCCAAATCATATTTTTTGTGAAATTTCTCTCCAATAGTCACACAGGTTGCTTTCATGTCAACCATGACGTTACCTGATGTAACCCTTAATTTTAGATGCTATTTTGTTGGATTTTTTTTGGCAGCAATGCTATTCTCATAAACTTTTTCAGACTGCTAAATTGCTAGTTTTTATTTTAGGTGTGAAGGTACTATATTGGTTGAAGATCGTAATTTGTTCAAGAGGTGTAGATTTACTAATGAATTTGCAAAATGAATCAGAAATGCTATACAACATCTCAATTTTTCTTTTCAACAATTACTATTATAGACAATTTCTTAGGATCTGCAGTGCCCTCTCATGAAACTGCTTTTTTTAAAACTGCATTTTCAACAGGTAGCACTTGGCAATGTAACGTGATCATACAGTGATCACCCACATATAGCATTGCTTAAATGATGGTAGTCGTTGCACCACACATGCGCAAGATAATGGGTCTTGTATAAACAAAGATGGCAGCTTTGACTGTTGCGCAAATCAACGAGTACAAACTGGGATGTTACCAAGCTTTATTTAGGTGATTGCAAGGTATTGAAGTAGTCACCAGCAGTATTTAGTGCAAGGCGGTAATTAATGACCTAATTTGCATAACAGCCAATGTTAAGCATTTTCACTTTTTGTTTCACAATCAACAGATTTGAATGAAACATGGTACATAGATGCTCTCAAATAATGCACAAACCTGATTTTTGGTTGAGATCCATGTATATTAATTAACTAATTTGCATATAAATTAGCCAATATTTAACTTTTCCACCAATATCTCAACCACTCATCAGACTCGTTGAAACTTGGTACAAGTATTGTTAAGACTAAACCTTCAACAACTGTCAAATAACAGATTGGGTCTGAAAGTTTGTTGGCTCCCAACTCAAAGATTGGAAGGTTACCTGGGAAGTGAAATTAGGTAATCCTCCACTTTAACATATCCGTTGACTTTTTCATGAACTGAACTAACCAGTTATACTGTGATGCAAGTACTCTTGCACAGATTCAAACAAAAAACTCAATATTCGATATTTACATAGGATTTTTATTGCAGTGTAACAGATTGGAACCAGCCAATTCAATCACATAATATACATTGCTTTTATATTTTGTTACTTATAATTTTGCTATGCATAGATAATATGGGGAAAAAATATAAAAATAATCTTTTTATTGAATTTAGATATTGATTTTCAGTACTACTTCAGTACTAATATTTCAAGTTTACAGAACATGGGCAAAATCCATGTTCTAAGGAATTTACATTCTAAGGAATTTTGTTACTTGATTGTCACCACAGTCCTTCAGGTGTTGAGGGACTGTGTTGTCTTTAATGGAAACATAAAATGTTTACTAGCAATTAAACACAAAGATACATGTCAATACTTTATCATGAACTTTGCCATGTAACCTTTGACAACAAATGTCATATACCCTCAGACCTCTCACAGATAAGACTCAATACTTTTTTGACACTATGAACCATGCCATATAGCCTTGACCATGTAGCTGACAAACTTTGACCTACTACACACAAACTTACTTGAACCCAAGTCCTTGTTTAGCTTCAACATATAACTGAGTCATGTTTTTTTAGCATGGTATATCTAAGCTAAAGCTATTGGTATATTGCATATGGAAGACATTTTTTTTCCACTCATTTTTAAAAAGTATTAGAAAAGTACAAAACACTCAAAACAGGTTAAAAATACAAAAATATTGATGCTTGGCAGTGACAATATAGAGCAATTTCCACTAAAGCACAAACCTACACACAAAAAGGAATGGTTTGGTCAAAGAATATACGGAATGTATTGTAATGTATATTTCTATATTTCATAGAACAAGTTTATCTTCTAACTGAATACAAAGTAGAAGATGAAAATTTCTTTTAACAAAAAAAAAAGAAAGTCACACAAATAGTATTAATTGGTATTGTGAATTTTAGTCAAAACCATTTTCATAGCCTACCAATTTTTGAATTTATATGGCTCTTTTTATTTAATAATTCATAAATAAGGCTTAATTAAAAATAAAAAAGACTATTTTCTGTTCACTTATGCATAAAAATTGAATATAAAAACTAAGGTAATAAAATCGTAGTGACATCAAAATATCATGTAGGATTTGATAAACACAAAAGTATTATGGAGGCATTTGCACAAATAACGTGTATACATATTTGAGATAATGGTCAATTTTGCTGAAATAAGTGCCTCTAAATGCAATATTCCCTTTTCGAATCAATTTTTGCAACAGACATTTGGTCTGCATCTTTCATATAATATGCAAGATCTTTTTGGTGAACCAAAAAATCCATCTACGCTCATACAGTAGAAATTTAGAAATTTCAACCAAACACCTTTCTATGAGAATCGAAAGAGATGGGTGTACTTATCAAATGATAGGAGTGATATATTTTATTAGCTTATTTATTATTTTACAATTACATATGGCTCTGAAAATATATTTCAAGTCGTACTTGACATGCATGTATCAAATGCTGGTAACCTTTTTAAAGGTGGCAGTATTCACAACTTTAGCTCAGTGATGATTCTATATCTTGACACTGATTGCAGCAATTTTTAATTTCATAAATATTAATATATTCTATAATATAAAATTCTGGTTCTAGTTTCACTTGAAACTATGTAAGTTCTCTTCATTGGAATTGTATCAGCATTTTCTATGCTGTCTTTCAATAAAATTCTGTATAAACGTGTTAAAAAATAAAGACGTCTCAGAATCGTATGGCAATTGGGATTACAGTTCTGGCAAGTAATGGACGTTCTTAAAATAATGCTGTATTGTCATAGATTCAACCACAAAGGTTTCACATTGCATTTGCATCAAGATAACTCCACATACCGAATGCCATATACTATCAGTTTTTTACTTTAGGTTTCAGTGAATCCAGTCAGCATATTTTCTCCTTGATCTCACAGTAAATTATGTTGTAAAACTCGTCTCTGCATCTATGACTTTACTATAATCTGGCGGTTCATCCATTGTATCCTCGGCAACACTATTAGGAGATTTAGGCTCATGAGGATACCCTTCTGAATGAAAACCGCTTGACAAATCTGATGACACAGACTCCTCGCTTTTGCTGCTGCTTTTATGCGAAGTCAATGGATGACACTCCTCATCGTTGGCACCGACAGGAAATGTTGTTTCAGAGCTACCGTTGACTCTCCTTGTGACTGGCTCAAGATACTTGTCTGAATCTGCACCACTTTTACTCATCAATGGCTGGTACTCAGTTGGAATGGAATCATGTATAAGTTCAGCGTAACCACCTATCAGCCGTGAGTTTCTCTTTTCATAAGGTTCATTCAGATCGATGTATTCCTAAAATGGTTATTACCCAAAATATATGCAACATTAATAAATCAGAGATACAATATAATGCATGGTATTAAAATATGAAATCAACCTAGATCATTTTGTAACCTTTTGAATGTCAAATTCCACTTTTGTCACCTTTCACAAAATCAAAATAAAGATATTTTTATATAATTTTTTTTTCAAAAATGTTCACTAATTTCTGTATTCAATGGCAAAATAGGACCAATTGGACTAAAATATTAAAAAAAATGCATTGAAATTGTACAAAATGTGAAATAAAAAAATATATCATTAACAGATGACATATCTTTTGACTAAAGAGTTAAAAATATCCTAGTATGTGACAATACACATAGCAGTGACAATAGTAAGTGATAAATAATTGTGTGTTTACCTGTCTTACAGTTGCCTCTAGGTGGCTCCCTAACTTTTGTGCTAATTGATGAAAACTTGGTCTATTTCTGGGTATAGCATTCCAGCATTGAAGCATTATTTGATAGCTGCAAAAAAAAATTAATTAAAACAATTATAATTAATATAAATTATTATATATGTTCATGAATAGCAAATTTGTTAGACCTAATAATATGTTTGTTGAATGCAATAGGCCATCACCAGTCTACAAATATGCACCCAAACATAAGACAAACAAGTTTACTAAAAATATTTTTAAAAACATTACTATCAAATCTGCTCAGAAAAAGTACATTTTGAGATTTTCACTTCATAATATTGTTATTTTTTAAGATACTGGGAAAAATGAGTAATTTGTTACAAATTCATCAGATAGTTTGAACAAAATTACAAAATTATTTCACAATATCAAAATAAACATTGTCAGACTCTTGCTACTCTGACAAATAACAGTGTAGTTGAAAATATGTATTTGTACCCTGTACAGAAAACCTAGCAACTTAGGGAAACTTGTTGATGACCATTGATTAATTGTGAACTCCCTATCTCACAAATGTTTATTACAATACATCAAAAATATTATCAAGAAAAACGTGTGAATAGAAAAACTGAACATTTTCTAGGGTTGACATTCTTTGGAGTACATGGTTGTTAAATACTCACATTTCTTGAGGAGCTAACTCAGGACACCGCATTCGATAACCACTTCGAATTTTCTGGTAGAATTCTTCATTAATGGGCAGACCAGGATAAGGTGTACCACCAAGAGAAAATATCTCCCAAATCAAGACACCAAACGACCACCTAGAGTAAACACAAACATCACATGCAAACTGTAGGGTTACTTTTGCTGGCAAACTACAATTTTAGCCTTGTAAAATGCATCTTACAAGAAATTCATCTTAGCAAACCACAGGGCTGTGTGGCACCAATGTATACGCATATGAAAACTAGACATCTTTCCTCAAAATAAAGTTACTAATATTCTCACAATGAAATATTATCTATTTGTCATGATTATTGTTGTTGTTACAATGTTCTTGGCTCTTTAAAACTAAGGTAGTTTATATGGTTGTTACAATTGCAATTTTTATTTACAATTAAATTTGCTAAAAGTAGACAGATGACAGACAGCAGCGGACAATTAGTAAGAAGCTAAACAGATGTAACTGGAAACTATCACAGAAACAAAATTTATTTTCTCCACTGTGGCAAATAAAACCATTTTTCAGTCACATAAAACAGATACAACTGAGCCAGACCAGACTGCCATATAGATATGGTGAATTTCACTATTCAAGTGCAATACACAGGTTCAATTTTGGCCAATTAGACCTTCAGTGAAAAATTCAAAGAAAGGGCATACTTGTCCTACCTCAACAAAACATTTTGTTTTTCATTAAAATTATGAAGTAATTCAAAGTTCTACAGTCATCATGGTTACTGTGCAACATGTTGAATTCAGTCAAATGAATAATTTTGTCTAAGATTTTACTACCATATTTCTGACATTTTTTTAATTACAAAATTGTGTAAAAATATCAATGTCTAGACAACCATAAATACTTACACATCACTTTCTGTTGTAAACACTTTATCATCGCAAATAGACTCAGGAGCCATCCATTTTATTGGCAGGCGACACTAGTCAGAAGAAGACAAAATTGTAAGTGATTAAAACCCAATAAAAATAACTGAGTACAATGATATCTGTGAACAGACATGTGTGATTTCGTTTCTCTAACATTATGGGACCACCACTAAACTGTGATTTGCGATTTAATTAATATTTAATTCAAGTTTGCATAGCTTAAGGTTATAGAAATGAATAAGGCTTGATAACCTGTACCAATCCATATCCCTTTCCTTAACACAAGCTAACGTTAAAACATGGAATTTAATTCAATGAAACTCAACCATATATACAATTTTATGGAGTTAATTAAATTGCTTTCCGATATAGGATTACTATTTAATTTAAAATCACAATTCACAGTTTTGTGATAGCCACAATATGAAACATGCAACATAAACTCTCTGTGTAACACTATTCCACAAAACACTCAATAAAGTAAAAGCATTATTGCAAATTTAAGTCCAATGTTAGTGAACACTAATTTAATATCATTGAATTCTATAGGTTAGGCTCATCCAAATTGAACTTAATTTAGATTCTGTACTGATGATTGTTTACTTTTTTTTATTATTATTACTATTTTTGTATCAGACATTCAACATAATACCTGGAGGGAACACTGTTTACAACTGACAACCAAACATACCCATTATGCAGATGATTTGTTCACCATATGTTACCTAGACTAAATTTTGAGATGATACCACAGGAACTGATGGTAAATGGCTACTGTTTTGGGTGAAAATTTGTTTGATGACAATACAATTTTATCTTTGTTTTATCAAAAGCATAATATATACTGTAAACTTTAAAGAAATCTGGTGATCTGTATTAACGTTAGCCAACTAATATTAACCAATGTTAATCTAAAGACCCATTGATTAGTAAACAATTCTCGTCCGATGGCTTTGACCTCCCCATTGAGTCTGTGGCACCAACCCTTTTTGGTGTTCAACCCCGGGTGGAATAAACAGAGTGAATAAACAAATGATAGTTGAATCTACAAGGAAACAAAACAATACTTACCGAACTACTTGTGATGTAGTTAGGATCTGTATAAACATCTCTCGCCAATCCAAAGTCGCAAATTTTAACAACATTATCTTCAGATAATAAAACATTACGAGCCGCTAAATCACGATGTATAACCTGTCGGTGAACAATAAAAATTAGTCTAGACTGATTGATCTTAATTCGGGCGCGGGGATAGCAATCACTGCCAACACTTGTTGGAACTGGTGTAGAAATCACTTTATTAAAAAAGAATATGAAGAGAAAACGGGCCTTTCTAAAATGATTTATCGGTAATAAATATGAAGAAATTTAAAGACTTTTCAAGGATTTTTTTTATTTTTCCTGTAATTTAAAGACAACTCAAAGACTTTCCAGACCTCAAATAACCCAAAGACTTTCAAAGGATTTTTCTAACGCGCATATAGAACTTGCCAATTATATTTACACAACAAAAAGATTTATTTAACATTTAAATACTAGTCAAGTCCTTTTGTATTGTTTTTTTTTTGTACAATTCTTATATATATCTTGTTATTATTTTAAAACTATTTTTTGCTGTACTTATCCTATGTAAATCTTTTTACACGGAGGCAATAAAGTTATTATTATTATATATATAAAAACCAAAATGCTTAAAATACCTTCTTTGATGACAAAAATTCCATCCCTCTAGCAACTTGAAATACAAAACATGCCAAGTCATGTAAACTAAGAGAGTCTTCCCCATATTCAAAGACGTCCTCATAACTCTCAGAAGATTGAGCGGAACTGGTCGGAGTCTTTGGTTCAAGTACAAAGCTTTCACGTCTGGTACGTAGATAATCGCACAGATTACCGTATTTACAGAACTCTATAATGATGAATAAACCTAAATGGAACAAAAAAAAACTTATTAACATTTTGTTTTCACAAGTTAAACAGATCCACAGTTTGTCGACAATGATAATACATCTTAATTTATATCAAATTATATTTATAAATACCATGACAACAACATCAATTAGACCACTGTAATTATTTTGATTTAATTGAAAAATTCAATGATGGGCTTTTGACAGAGTACCACTACCTTTTTATTAGCAGTGTCAATGCAAATAAGTGATTTCAATGCGTCAGCGTTAATACTAGTTTTTACTGATAGGAGTATTGATTAGAAAGTGACAAGTTTTTTTTAATGTACACTATGTAAAAATAAAATGGATGAACTGGAGGTAAGTGGGCTATGTAATATTTTGATTTATGTATGTATATTCACAGTTGTCAAGTTTTCATATTGGGTTGCCCCACAAAACAAAAGTGGTTGTCCAGGACTACCATCAAATTACAATCCCTGGATGAGGTTGTCATGGCATCATTTCATTATCTTGGCTACACAAGATTTCCACTTACAGTCCTTAGTACAAGCTCCTAGTAAGTTGACGATATTTAAATGCTGACCAATATGACAGAGCATCTTTAGTTCACTGGTTAATGCTTTCTTTTCACTTTCACTGCCATCCTCTAAGTAAACAAACAAACGCATGTAATAAATCTCTTATGCATATCATAGAAAAATATCTTGTTAGAATATGAACCAACCAATTGGAGAATTTGTTACGAAATACGCATGTTTATACAAGACACACTCTGATTGGTCGACACATACAAATGAACAAATATCCAGAAACCACAGCTTTGTATTTAATTGTTAATACAGGATTAGAGGAGCAAGAATTGGAAATTATTTTGGAATAATAATATCCTGTTCACACAAACCTTTTAACATTTTCACCGCTACCGTGGTTACTGTGGAGGTATTATCGATGCCCCATGCTGCAGCTTTGTAAACACGACCAAAGGCGCCTCTGCCAATCGTCTGTCCAATGCGCAATTTTTCCTTTGGGAACTCCCAGCTGCTGTCATACGGAGTCTTCTCAAATGCTTCGTCAATGTCAATTTCTACCCCATCCTCTATCACGGTAGGAAATATTACACCTTTGATATCGCTATGACGATACACAGGTCTCTGTAATTAAAAAAAATGAGATTGAATTTGGATTTGTTTTACAAGGCTATGAAAACATTTTTTTTTTATATGTTTTATGATTCTGCCTGATTTTCAAACAAGGCAGTGTCAACGACTGGCAAACATATTTGGCTGCAAAGTTAGGGACACACTTTTTTCTGTTATGATTGGTGGCATAATCTGTATTGGTAATTTTTTCTCAAGACGTTTGTCTATATAACTGTATTAGCTATTAGTATGCTGAATGTGGTAATGTTGTAACATTTACTCTTGAAATAAAGGAAATGTATCAGTTTGAACATCCAGTGTGTGTCAGTGAGATGCAAATCTGAAGATGTTATTGGGATATTTTTAACATTAACCTGGATTCCTTGTTTTGTAAACACACCATCATGCATCTTCAATATAAAATTCTAACAGAGATGTGCAGCAGTGGTTTTAAAGACACTGATGTGATTAAAAAGAAGTATTCAACAGGTCAGTGTGTGTAACCAAATATCACATGCATATTGGCTATATGTAGTATGGAACTTAGAATTATGACGACACTCGCTCTTTAGAAGAGATGACAGAACAGAGCACATGCCATCACAATCATAATAATTTGGCAAAATAAATCATTTTAATACCAAATATGCAATAGAATTTGTTTTTGTTTCTCACCTTTCGGTGTCTTCTTAAAGTCAATATAATAATTATAAAGATAATAAGACAGAGTCCAATTCCACCACCAGCCAGTGCAAACATACGTATCTGAGTTTCTGACAAAGCTGCTGACATCTGTCCAGCAGAAGTCTTTGGTGCTGGAAAATAAATATATATAAGATTACATCAAAAGAACTTGGTGAATAAATGACGGAATTTTAGTTGACCAACAACTTAGTTCACAAATTAATGAAGACGTTGAGTTTGCTGGATAAGTAAGTAAATAGTAGAATACGGTAGTAACAGACATATTTTAAGTGTTTTGATGAATAAATAAGTTTGCAATGCCTTTTTAGTTCAAGGGCTTCAAAACAACTCACTCAACAGAGAAGCACAGTCAAGATGAAAAGTTCCAATATACATAATCCCATTCTTCATGATGTTGCATCAATTTAAGGTTATTGAATGTAATATTACCAGTAAGTCCGGACTGCAGTAGAGAGTGGGTAACTAGCGAAGAGTAATCAAGTACCAGTAGCCAAGCTAGGGTAATATTGACAATCATTAAAACCTCACTTGACATGCATGTTTTACATTCAAGGGTACTTACCAACTTTGATATCACCCTCTGCAAAGTCTAAAGCAAGGACATTGCTGGCAATACATCGATATGTTCCAATATCCTTCAGTTTAATATTCCTAAGGTTGAGTATACTCTCTACTCCATATGCAGATTTCTTCACAGTCATATAATAATGCTTCATGACAGGCAAGGCATAGCTAGCATTGACTTTCTTGGCCCATTCAACGATGGGCACTGGGTTGCCATCAGCTATACAGCGAAGTGTTGCATTGTCATTTTCAGTTACGTAGTCTGTTTCCGGACTCACCATTACTGTGGGTTTTGCTGTAAACAATAAGTGAATAGTAATGAGAAATTACTGTACTGGATACAAAGCAATTAAACAAAGTTGAACCAAAATTGTAATGTTGCACTGACAACACAGGTCTGGATTAAATTTTTTTTAAATGTATGAAATTAACACTGTAAAATTTTTTATTTTAGCTGGAATTAATTTTAACTGAAAAGACTTTTTGGGTGTTTTGTATGGAATTTATTTTCACTGATTTTTGATGAGTTGAATGTAAAAAAAAGAATTTTTGCTGGATTTTATTTTCACTGAATTATTCCTTCAGCGAAAATAGTGAAAATTAGTTGCAAGCGAAAATAAAATATTTTACAGTAATTGTAATAGTCAACAAAATTCGAATTTGGCAGGCTTAGCTGATTCATTTTGTTTGTAATATTACTAGTCACAAGCAAACATAAAATGCATGCAAACATTGGGATCACTGGATTTTCCAAAACATGATTGGTGCTATTGTTATACATACCCCATATTGCTATAGTAGCATTACTATACACATTGCCTCCATCACTGCTAGCTTTACAGGAATACAATCCAGTATCCGTCATAGCTATTCTTTGCACAGTCAGCGTAGAAGCTATGGTGCCTTTTGTGGTTCTACTGATAATGTTGTTTTCCATCAACACACCATCTTTATACCATGTGATTGTTGGAGTAGGAATGCCACTTGCTTCACAATGTAAATCAAAATTCAGTTTAGTGGTTTCTATGCGGAGTTGCGTCAATCCGACTTCAATTGTAGGAGGTCTGAGAGCTGGAAATTGACAAGAAGCAATACACAATATTATATACTAGCAAAATCCAACAGGAAATCCAGTACACAATGAAATACAACATAACAGTTCTGCATTCTTAGCAATTTAATTTAATGGGAACAATAAGTAAAGGTAAATACTGTAAAATACTTTATTTTTGCTTGGAATTAATTTTCGCTATTTTTGCTGAAGGAACGATTCCGTGAAAATAAAATCCAGCGAATATAGCTTTTTTCTTATATTTTACATTCAACTGGTCAAAAATCAGTAAAAATATATTCCATACAAAACAGCCAAATAGTCTTTCTAGCGAAAATTAATTCCAGCTAAAATAAGTATTTTACAGTAAAGTGTCCAGTTGCAACAGACATCCACTTTTATCATGACACAATCAAATATAAAAACTGGTTGGATAAAATTAATATAGAAATCACAATTTTACATATTATTATCATAGCACAGATACATTTTCATTGAAAATACTACAGTTGCTTAAAAAAGAAAATGACTGACATTGTAGGACCAACAAAATTATTCAGGTTTATTTTGCAGAATGTCACAAAAGTTGAAAAAATTTGCAGGTTGATTTGATTTGAATGGAATCAGCTTTCCTATTTGAATTGTAATGAAGGAATTGAATAAAATGAAGGCCCACCTTGAACTTCTAGATTATATCTTTTCTCTTTTCGTTCCCTGACATTATCATCACCTCTTCTCTTGACGACGATACAGGTATACATGCCAGAGTCAGCTAGTGTAAGGTTGGAAAAGTTTATCACTGATAAATGAGAGTACTGAGTCTGTTGACGGAAGATCATATCCGTGGGTACAGCCTCTGTGGTGTTCTCGTTTAACGATCTTGTCCACTCTATGTTTCTGTAGGCGTACTTGTTAGCTTTGCATGTCAGGTTAAATGGTGTCGTTTCTATGGCGATCTCACTGGTTGTTTCTATCTGCAGACCATTTCTCACATCTATATAACAGAGATTAAAATAAGTTCTCAAAATAAGAACAATTGTTGGAGAAATATTATGACATATTGTTTTGGATAGCAACATGGATCAAACCATTTTCATGAGAATGCGTTATTTGGCTAAATACACACACTAGATGCACACCAGAGACTTTGTCCTGTCTAAAATTGGTTTAACCCGATTCGAGTAACTATCCTGAGACGCATAGCAAACCAGCTGGCAATGCTGTTATTGTTGTTGGTAAATTAACAACATGTCATAATGCCAAATATATATTTTATATTGGCCAATATATGCATTGAAAAACTGTTCCAAAACAGTTAATTATTCTTATTAACCAAGTTCATTATCATCAAAATGAATCAATGTTTAAAAATCAGCAAAAACAGGGAACTTCTAAAAAGTGTATAGTAATTATAGACATATATCATATTGATGTCTGCAATAGATTTTACAATGAATGAGAGAATATTCACCTGTAAGCTTGAATTCAATGTCTTCAGTGACATTTTCTGCAAATGATGAAGAAAAAGCAACACATCTATACCAACCAGGTACCATAGCAGCGGGTACATGTAGTTTTTTTTCCCAGGGTCTATCAACTGTTCCTTCAACACCATGCATGGGAGACGTCACGTCTGATATTTGCTCCCATTGGTTCACATTAGGAAATGGACGTTTACAATCATCCATTTCGGTACATTGTTGCCAGTGCCAGGTGACTATTGGCAGAGGTTTGCCAGTAGCTTTGCAATCAAATGTATAGGATTGACCGATTGTGTACAATGGTGGCGATGTTTTATGTGATGGACCGGGATCTTGCGTGATCGTCACCACTGGTTTATCTATCAAAAAATACACAGAAAGTTACAATCAAAATGCTTCACATTTCACTTGAGTTTTTAAAATTTGAATTTTGAAATTCAACCAATTTGACCAGTGAAAATGAGTTTTAACAGTCTGAACCAATGATAACAAGTTTAATGATGAGAGTCCACAAAATAAAATGTGTACTGACCTATAACAACAAGTTTAACACTATTCCTCTGAGATACATAATCATTTGTACCGACTAGTGTATAATTTCCTTCATGACCTAAAGTAACACCATTAATAATCAATCGTCTTTGATCGTCTAATCTTCGTAATGAGTACGTTGCATTGTTGTCGTCAACAATTTGGTTTCCTTTATACCATTTATATTCAGCTTTTGGATTTGACTTGGTAGTAAAAAATATTTTTGCCTTAGAGCCGATTTCTGATTCTATGATGTATTGGTTTTTCACTGGGTTTATTTCAACATAACCGATTTCTGTGAAAAGAACAGAAAATCAATTAGACATGAATAATCAGAATTATTTTGTACATCATATCAATAATATCATATAATCTTTGCTTTTAATACATTGTACAAAATATATGGTTTCCATTTATATTTAACTCTCCATATGATACCAAACTTAGCGTTCCATAAAGTGCATTTTTTGCACTTGTACAAAATTTCCTTTAGGGTAAACTCATCATCATTAAACACATTCAAATATTTATTGACGTCACTTTCTTTTGTTGTACACATTAGATACAGAGACAATAAATATATTGTGTGACGAAAATGTGTGATATGCGACTAGAATCTCAATTTGCAGTAATGTGAATTGTTAATAAATAGAAATACTACGGTAATACAAACAAGTTAGTCTTTGAAAAGACTGGTGGCTGTTCATCTGATGTTAGTGTTGCTTATTCACTAAGCATATATTTTGCATCTGTTGCTCATTGTAAACACAGTCAAACTTTTCCTTCAAGTGCTCACTCCGTGATGTCACTAGACAGATATTGTTTGACTGACGTATATTTCACAGACTTTTACCGCATATCACTGCACATTGATATCTAAGCTGCAAACTACTACCTTATAAACTTCACACAATATTTTCTGTGACAACTTGCTAATATTTCAGAATGTTTCATTGTACTTACCTAAGACCACAACTGATGTAGATACGGTAGTACGATCTCTGTAGTTTATAGCGGTGCATGAGTAGTCCCCGCTATCAGCTAACTCAGAATTCTTCAACTCTAACTCAATATAGAATCGACGGAAGGTACGAAATGATTGTTTGATTTCTTGCGATTCAGAATTCACGGTCACTGTGCTATTTGAAATCTAGAAATAACAGATATTACAATATTATTATTATTCATTTATCCATCCATGTGAGAAGGCCAGGGTGTACTAAGGTGAACTCATTCAGTGTAATCATAAGACAGTCGTCAGTTTATATACAGTCATCTTAGGGTAATGCAGTATTTCTTTAACATTCTCATCAACAGAATGCCATTTCATATACTGGGAGTATAGTAATTGGAAAAAATAAACTCACAATCCCACAATCTCCCTCAATTTATAGCAGACACATGCCTACAGCATGACTCATACATATTAAAGACTATATTTGTCAGTATAAATATTTTTATAGCGTCTCAAAAATTTACAACCTATATAAACTTTCTTTAATTCTTTAATAATCTATTGTTGCCAATTAATTATGAACTGCAACCAATTATGACAAATTGTTTTTTTAATCTACAAGGAACAGTGAGCAGCTGTATTGAAGACTTCTTTCTGAATTAGCTGTATCATGAATTTGCATAATTAGAGGGTAGTTATATTAGCTAAAGTAATGTATTTTTTTTTTACTACAATCAAAATCTGATTACTAATTATTAATCACAATCATTTTGAGTTACAAGAGAACACTGATAATATTTATGACATAAAAATGAGAAATACAAATATTCACCTTACTAATGGTATCTAGGGTTTACCCAATTTACCAAAAAAATGTATTCAATAGAAACAGCATCAACCAACTTCCAGAGCAAGCTGAACAAGCTGAAATCGTCTGTACACACACCAAGCCAAACCAGTTGACAATTTCATTGTATTGGCAATCTGTCTTTGAGTTGGCAGCGTTGAGTGGAAACCCCGGAAAACACTAAACCTGTCGAAAAACACTAAACCTGTCGAAAAACACTAAACCTGACAATAAAAACACTAAACCCGAGGTAAAGGGTGTATTATGGGTGTACCATAATCGTCCAGTGAATATTTGATTAAAAGAAAGCGAAAACATGAAATAGAACCCACGACGGCAGCTGATTTCTAGAGGGCGTCCTGCTGCCAAATCAGCTGCGGCCCTGGCCTCGATCATAAAGGGATTTTTCTTTAGCTTTCTTTTCATAAATACTCAACTGAACGATCATGGTATATCCATAATTCGCCCTTTACGAAGGGTTTAGTGTTTTTTCAACAGGTTTAGTCTTTTTCAATAGGTTTAGTGTTTTTCAACTGGTTTAGTGTTTTCCGGGGTTTCCACTCAACGAATTGGCAGGAATTTTTGTTTTCCAAACTGAATTTATTGTTACTTAAACTGTATTTAGATCATGAATGAATAATTCCCATTCTTTTTTACTTTGATTTGTTTGTTTGATTTGTGGAATGTTCAGTTTCAACTCACCATATGTGTGCATTACATACTGCACCTGACTTTTGTGATTTTGAACTAATTTTCCAAATAAGACAAGTCCTAGTTAGTAATAAGATTTGATTGGTGCTTTATTTTATGCATTAGAATACATACTGTTCAAATAGTATTATGTCACCTGAGTCAATTGATATATATTGCAGATGGTGTGGCTAAATATAAACTACTGAATCATGAAAGCTCTCTGGTTTCTGTGATGTTTTTTGTATTCCTAAGTCATCACATCACAGTAATTATACCATAGCTAAAAACATGTCCATCTAAAACAATTTTGTCTAAAGAGTTCACAGAGTCAAATATTTAGGTGATATTGGTAAGCAGTTTGAGGGTATTCCAGGTGAAATAGAAACATCATGTTCAACACACTTGAATCAACACAGTCATAAAGACACAGTATCATTATATTTACTCCACCAGTAGCGCATGGTATTTCTGTGGTCAAAATGAGTTTTATTTTAATGGTTCAGCAATATTTTATTACAGAGTACTTCTAATAGAGCAAGAACTGGAGTTGAAGAAAAATAAATTTTAAGGTTTATTTGTGTGTGAAAAATTGGAAGTTGAAATGTACAAGTACTTACATCTTTTCCTGGATACTCCCACTCAAAGACCATCGTAGTACTCAATGGGGCATCTACAATACACGTTATGGTAAAATGACTTCCAACTACTACTTCATTGTGGCTGCTAGTAATTCTTGGTTGCGGCTTTGGAGCACTACCTATTTATAGAAACAGAGAAAACATTAAAGCTGCTGCTTTAAAGCATCTGATTATAATTTAGCCTCAGTTTTTGAGAAACCCAATTTCAAGAACAGTCTAAAAATGACTTGGATGGATTGAAATTATGAAGAAAAAATCAAAATACGATACTTTGAAAAAGCATCAAGAAATTCCGGTGAATTTTAATGATGAAAACATTTTTGTTTTGCAAACTTTTATTTGACACCTTCAATGGGTAATGAACTGATCTGTTAAAAAATAAAAGATTACCAATTCATTATACTTGAGCCAATAATCTGGGACCTATACAAAAACTGCAAACATGCAAAACGTATTCAAACATCATGTACTACAAGATGTGTGTTTTCAAACCAAGGAAGGCAGTAGAGCAGTTTAGATGTTGTATGCAGAAACCACTCTTTATGTTGACATCATTTACAATCAAATTTATGGTCGATAGCAAAATGTGATAGAGTTCATTGGGCTTCTATGTTATGAATATTGACTTTTGAAATATTTATTGTGAAACAAACAATATTTTATCAATTTATTAAAGATTGCTTTAAGCATGTGGTTATATTTTACGAAATTTTTTTTTTTCAGAATGTCTATTTCTACATACGAGTAAAAATTACTTACTTTCATAAAACAAAATAAAACGAGCAGTTTCCTCCATGTCATTCAGTGTTGCAGTACAGACGACCGGTCCTTGAAACCGAGCATGGTTCTCGTACACATTGAATCCTCTCTCAGGATCGTAGCTAACAGCAGTACCATCAACATCAACAAGTTCACCAGTATTAATGCCCAATGTCACACTGGCTTCTTTATTCGTAACACGGCACGGAATAGTGAACGTCCAGTCCGCGAATATCCTGTATGTGATTTGTTCTGGCTGCACAAACAATTCATCTTCATCTGTAAAAAGCGATTACTGGTGTTACACTATACACAGGGATTTTTTTAACAAGGGAACAGGGGCACAGCGCCTTCATGCCATGGCCATGCACCCCCTTACCCTGGGGAGCAGATCCTCTGGCAACTATAAAATTCTGATTGACCAGGGATCACATGTGGCCACAGTCTTCAACTGTGACCTGTCTGATAGTATATTTGACCCCAAGAAAGCCATAGAATGCTCTATTTTAACTTAGAATTATCAAAAACACATCCTGGTAGGGAGAACCCTATTTCCCCCACTTGGTGGCGCCGCTGAATTGCAGTGCTCCCTCTTGCATTTTTTTTTAGAAAAACGTATGATACAATATTTACCGTACTCTACCGCGTTAGCGCCCATGCCCAGTCAAGCGCCCACCCCCCACTTTTGCGCAATTTTTATATTCGGGGTCACTATCCGACACATTCGTCAGTGGGGATAATGATTTAGATTTTAACTGTGTTCCAACAAACTCAAATATTTTCAATCTCGTAAATTCAGGTGGTACATATTAATATTGTAATAAAATGTGCATATTTGACCATTTCTGTTTCTTCAGTGTAAGAGTCAATGACGATGCACCTAATTTCGTAATTTTATTTTCCCTCAAATTTTCAAAGAATTAATATCCATCTCAATCTGTCACACAGTGAATTAAAATTGTCCGTTGCACTCTTTTCCGAGGGGGGTGCTCGGGTAAGCGCCCACCCCTAAAAAATCCTGATTTTAAGAGTTGAGGACCCTAGGCGCTGACGCGGTTGAGTTCGGTACAACATGTTTGTTGTAGAGATTAATCAGAATCAGAGATGGAAGTTGGGAGGGAGTTAAAGTAGCACTGTCATTAAAAATTGTGGATGTGTAAAGGAAAAACTTGCACAACAATGTACATTAATATTTTGATATCTGACAGTTTTAAAATATTGCACATTTACATTCAAGCTTATAAATTCAACCAATTACATGTGTTTATTTTTATTTAAAGATTTTTTTGAGATAAGTATTAATGTGTATGTTTTGAACTACTTTTCAGCAGGTGACGTGTTCATAAAACTTACTATTGCTGTTAACAAAGACGTAAACACTGTCAGATGTCTGGTTGTTAATCCTCTCCAATGAGTTTTTCAATATACACTGATATAACCCAGTGTCTAAATAATTGGTCCTGTTCACGGTTAGTACATTAGTGTATTCGTTTTCATTGTCCGAGTTGATCTGCATGGTTGTTAAAAACGTCAACCGTTCGTTGATTTCACTGTCTCGGTGCCTGGGATATATCCACTCAATAACAGACTTGCTGTAGCATGTTATCCTCAATTCTTGACCGGTCTGGATTGATATGTCCTCTTCAATATAGTTAAGTTGCGGGACATCGTGATGTCTACTGGATTTGGCTACAGAAATAAACAGAAAATACTACCATCAAGTTAAAGATACATATAAAATTCATGCTATGAATATTTTGGTTTTATATTACATAGCTAGAACAGGTTTATATGATAAGCGTACTCCCATAATGCATTGTGCCATATTTGTGCTACTCCTGGGGGGGGGGTGTTACTCACATTGAAGTGCTATATGTATATGTGCCGCCAAAAGGGATCCCAAATTCACCACTTCTGTCTGAAAAGGGGTATGTTATTTTACCTTGTCTGTCTGAAAAGGGGTATACTTTTTTCATTATTTGTGTCTGAAAAGGGGTCCATATTTTCCAAAGACTGTCTCTAGAGCTTGAGTGATTCAACAATCAGGAGAATGAAGCTGATTTTTAACTTCATTTTGATCATCAAAGTCCATCCCAGAGAGTCCACCTGCTTTTCCCATGGTACCATTTATGCTTACTGTCTGGAAAGGGGTGTCAAATATCCTGTTTGTCTGAAAAGGGGGTAGGCAATTTGAGTTTATCTCTGTCTGATAGGGGGTAGGGGTTTCAAACAACCAGCTACACACCCCTGTCAGTATAAGTATAAGCTTAGCATTAGGAATCCATCATAGCAGTTTAAAAGATGGCAGTAAACACTTATTTACACCATGGACCCTCTAAAATCTTTTAGAGGGTCTATGTTTACACGTATTACATGAATTAAAATAAACAAGCCAGTCAAGTCAAGTCACTTTAATTGCTGTCAAATAGTATTATTCGAGCACTCCTTAATTTTGATATTTAATTTTATGTCAGTATGAGTTATTTACTTCAGCTCTTTGAAGTATGAGTGATAATTTAAAACATACCAATATATTGTACAGCCATTAAATGTAACAGGAAGTACACACTATTAGCATTGTTGTTGTTTTCATATAAGGTCACAGGGTCAGCTAAAAGGCTTTATATGCACCGGATGTAAGCCATTGATAACTAACAAGTGGTTCAGTTTCTTGCCAAAATGCTCAAAAAAAACATGTGTGAAAACCTAGGAATGAATGTAATTTAAAAAAAAAAAAAAAACATTTTCATTCAACAAGTTGAGTGTGAGAAAATTTTATAACACTTTGACACATGTAGACATAAATAGGCACCATCCAATTGGCACATAATTGCATACATTTGCATATTATTTGCATTAACATTCAAATGTTGAATCCCATACCATAACATGTGAAACTGCTTACAGTTCATTTAAATGCAAAACAGCTGCAAGTGACATTGTCCACCTTTATATCTACTAGTAGTAAATTATCTTCACAATCATTGAGATATATTCCCCCCATTACATCAGTAAAATTCTATCCTGGTTGCTAAGTTAATACTACTGTTGGGTGGGACTCACAAACAAAAGTTCAATACTGAAAAAGAATATCAATTGTTTCAAATGACGAAGGGCATTATAATATAATTAATTACTCTTGAAGTTGTGTGATTTGGACAAAACAAAGAAAAGAAACATAATTAAGATTGAATCTGTTGCTGTCTGCGTACATGGTAATATGATTATGTCAGTTCTATATTTAGCAACATTTCGTAATTGTTTGTCACGATCACAAAGACCTGTGCGATCACAAAGACCTGTGCGAGTGGTCAGTGTGTTTATTTGCATCAGGAAGGTTGTGGGTCCAATTCCCTAAGCAGTACAAAACAGAGTACAGTCTTTTCTGCCTTCCAAACATGTGGTATTAGATTTCATTTGGGAGACTGGTTTGCACACAAGCATTAGCAATTAGCATCATGAACACAAAACATCAGGAAAGACAAAAGTTACTCCAATGTCCTTATATATTGCTTCAAAAAATGAAAACTAATTCCAATTTTTATTCAAAAATACAGTAGCAACACATGCATAGGATCTATGATAAGATTATTGTGGAGTCAGAGACAAAGTATCCATCAAACGAAAAATAAGTACGTTGACCTGATAAAACAACTACGGAGAGACTGCACTCAGACTGCACTTATCTAATAGCAAACTATAAAGTCGGCAACATAGTAAATATGAAGATTACAAAGCACATAAAACTCATGGTGGTGTAATAGTTATCAGACTATACTGTATATAAGTCTGCATAGTTGGAGATTTTAAAGGGCCTCACACTGAGAAAAGTATTGGTGTCTCAGCCTGAAAAATATCTGAACTTTAAAACTTTTAAAAGCAGTGTAGTGGCTAGGATAAAGTAATTTGTTATTTTTATACATGAAAATAGTTTCCTTCATCATGAACAGCCCAATTAATATTTTTTAAACTAAAAAAATACTGATTTTCAACAATTAACAAATTTGTTAATCAGTGAATAAAAATAAATCAATAAGTAGTTAATTTCCAAAAGATTTATGACAAATTTGGCTGTCAAACCATGTTTACTTGGGCCAATTGAAGCACCAACACAATAACACCTACAATGACATTAAAACATCAAATTATGCATTCAGAACATCCATATTCAATTTAACACAGGCTTGATAAATATAGCCATTAGTAATACGACTTTTAGAAATTACAACTATATTATAAGTCAGTTTTCAGAAGGGAAGCAAGAGAGACTCTCTTATATAGATTCCAGTACAATGTTCTTCACAGGAAACACACACATGGAGATCTTGGAAGTTGGGAAGTGGTTTTATTACCGGAAATGGTTTAACACAGAGGTGCAGAAACTGTAAATTTTCCAAATTTTTAAGATCAAACAAAGAATTCACACATTCATTCTATTAGAAGCAGCATGCTCACATTGAGAGTAATTTTTTGTTTATTTGTGAGTTTTTTGAAATTAATTAAAATAATTATTTATGAGACAACGCTAATACTTTTTTATGGTTGTGTCTCTAATAGAGAAAAAAACACTTTCTGCTATATACTATTAGAGATGAACCTCTAATAAAGAAAATACAGTACAGTGGAGAAAGTATATCACTTACAAGCACCTGGAGGTGCTCGCTACCAACACTTCCTGTATTGAGCGTGACAATATGAAACTAAAAATAGACTACATGGAGAGGAGAGATAAGAACTCCCCCATTTTCACACATCCCTTATATGGACAAGTCTTTTCAGAGAATTCATATTCTATAGCAACAAAGGTACATTGATCTATTCATCCGGAATTCAACCTATCATCCATTCAACCACACACTCTAGAAATCCAAGGCAGAACGAATGGATGGACAAACATGGTTATAGGTTGTACACAAATTCCTAAGCATCTATTCATCATGCAATAACTTATCTTTTTCTTATGAAATGTAAACTTTGTTTATTTTGCTTCTTAAGTGAAAAAAAAACAATTTCACTAGAAAGATATTGAATGACTTGTATACAGATGGTGATCCACTTTCAAAAGAGACAGTGCTCGAAATGTCTAGCTATTTTTAATAGTTACTCAGGACAATGACCAAATAGTATCTCCTATATATCATTCAAAATTGTCAGAGAACAAAAAACGCTAGTGTTGACACTGTTTTTTTGTTGTGCAAATATTAGATAATCTGCTGAATTGTCTGCTCGCGTTCTCACTTAGTAAAAACATCGTTGTTTGAGGATTAAATGCTGGCCTTCACCTAATATTTTCGTTCGTTCATTCCAAAATGGCATAGTTTTCTCTACCGCTTCTTTATACTTTATACGTAAAGTTTAGATCTTCCGTTGACATTGTAATGACGTCCTGTCCAACCCCTTTTCAGCCACTTTCTCTGCAATCACAGCATATACTCTAGCATCCCTAGACGTCCATCATTCTTTGAATATTCGATTCTCTCCATACAGATATCAGTAATCTCGTTTCTTCGTCTGACAAGTTCGACATTTGACCCTAAACTCTGACGCAGTGTTCTCCCCAGGATGTAAACAGCGTGGCGGTCCCGCCACAGTGCTTCGATTTGCCGCCACACCGGTCTGACACCGCCACGGTGATTAGCAAGACCGCCACAGTGCTTTTTTCATTATGGGCCTCGTCACACTGGTCGGCCCGACGGCACTCAAAATTAGCGACCACCACGGAAACGTGTCCGACTATTGTCATATTGTTATTATACTTACGTACCGACCGACAAGCATCCTGCCAGTCGTGGATATTAATTTGTAAACAATAGACATAGTCGTGCGATGTGGTATCGGCTTTGAACAATACAAGTCAATTTTGTAAAATTAGCACCTCTTTGTTTGTAAGTAAATATTTTCTGACGGTAGACGCAGTCTTTAGATTGATAGCTAAAATTTATTCAAAATCAATTCCACCTGATGTAACATGGGCAAAGCGGAGTTTACGATCAGTTTACGCTACTCAAGAAAAAACGTGTTTATTGCGTGATTGGGTAAAATACATTTGAACTGTTATCATCGTGAATCATGTAAAAATTCTTCTTTCAAGACTTCTTTTACCTTTCAAAAATTGCTAATCACCTCTTTCGAAAACCATCATGCAGTTTTCATCTGAAATCCATACCAACACATCGTGCTACGACATCGCTTTACTTCCGCAATGTAATTTTTATGATCACGATCATTCGGAAAACGTCGGGTTCTACCGGCATTATCATGCGGCATTCTGATTGGTTAATGGCGTTTTTGACCCACTGGGTCATAGGACACATGCAGTCAACTAACGCGTCACAGCTATCATGGCGGTTCTGTGTTTTTCACGAAGTGATCGAGTGATAATTTCTCCCGATAAAAGTAGTTCAAATTTTACGTTTTTTTCATATAAAAAAAGAAGTATTTAATTTTTGCATGGCATCATGACTGAGTAAGAAAATTATTGGTATAACTGGTGTATAACATCGCGAAGTAAGTTATGTCACGTCGTAACTTTGATGATTGTTTGGAAGTGTTATTTGTTCGTTCATTTACTGTAAATGTAAACGTTGTAGAAGCTGATGGTCGAAATAATAACCAGCAATCCGCCAAATAATTACGTGGTCGATTTTTGAAGGAGAATTTTGTAGTAAATAAGATCATGAACATAATCCTGGCTGGAACGCTTCAGATGAGTTTCATTTAACCTTTTACAATTTATTTGTTTCTTTTTAGTCTGCAGCATTTGCATTTCGAGAATGTTTCATTTTTAAATTCAAACTCTTCTAAGTTGTGAAACGTAATTTTTTGACTCCAAAAAAAATATTTGCACTGTGACGGAGCTCATTAATATTAATATTAAAGCAAATAAATATCTGCCACTTTGTTTTTGAAAATATATCTTGTTTATTGTGTGTGTGTGCTTTGGTCAATTTCTATTAATATGTAAATGATATGCAAATTATATGCAAATTAGGCCGCCACAGTGGTTTAAATTCCTGGGGAGAACACTGTGACGGCATCTTGTGTAAAGACAAGCACAAATAAGTCGGCGATAGAAGGCGTTTGGCCGTCGTATTGTGCACGAGCCGGTGTGACAACAGCGTTTAGGATCTGGTCCACCCCTTTTACAACAGTGTCAAAAATGCCGTAGCCACAACAGCATATTCTGTTCACACACGCATTTTAACAACGTTCTCAAATAAAGGCGTTGTGACAACGGATTATTTCGTCCAGTGAGAACAACACTAATGACTTAGAACATAATTATGCATATTTACATTCTTATAACCAAGAACCCTCATTTAGAAATTGTAGGAATCCGCAGAAATGTGTCAGTATAGAAAGATCAGGTACGACTAATTAAAAGTAAAAATTCAACAAATTACAATCTTTTCACAGTCAATACAATTTATAATTGATTATTTTATTTCACTATAGGTACCAGTAGCAATGTGCTGTTATAAGGATATGGTGAAGATATTGCTGATCGTCCCTTCTTATGTTATATTATATATTATATTGTTATATTTCATTTTATGCAAAATAAAATATTTTGTTCTATTCTAACGCAGAGTGAAGTAAGCATTCAGGACTCCAGGAGCATTAGGCTCCCCCTTCATGAATGAAACTTGGATCACTTTGATTTATTATTGTTTACAAATTTGGGCTACTTTAAAATACTTTATTTTGGCTGGAATTAATTTTCGCTGAAAAGCATTTTGGGGTGTTATGTATGGAATTTATTTTCACTGATTTTCGATGAGTTGAATGTGAAATATATTTTATTTTCACTGACTCATTTCTTCAGCGAAAATAAATTCCAAGCGGAAATAGGTATTTTACAGTACTGCAAAAAAGAATGTAACAGAGATCACATTTATAATGAGATTAACACAATAGAAAAGTGGATTAAAACTTGTAAGCCTATTAAAAGAATGTATATTTTTGTTGCCACTAGTGATGATAAACAATTATAGTTTGGGGCTAAATGGAATGTTAAGTTTTAATTTGCATATGAATAGTGTTGCTAATTCTTGTTGTTTGGTTTAATTTAAAGACCCTGGGAAACCAAACACTATGGAGCAAATTATTGTTTACATTTAATTAAATTACATTTAAATTTGTACCTCATTTTACAATTATTTTGTATCCACTATGTAGTAGTTTAGGGACGATTGATGTGGGATAAAAAACTTATTTGCTTTAGTTTGGGGGTGGGGGTTTTGACCTCAAAAAGTTTCTATCCTACAAAAACGATTTTATTTTTTAATGAAGTCAAAAAAATCTTGGAGTATTTGTAGTTCGTTTTGTTTCTATCCAATCATGGACAGAAATTTCAGAAAATGAAAAAAAACAAACATCCAAGACAAGAAAATGGTTTGGTCCGAGTGTAAATATGCGTGTCAAATGAGGTGCATTTGTAAAGTCTTTTTACACCCACCCGACAACCAACTGCTATGCCATACTACTGTCTGATTATCCATTTGTATTTAATGGTGAATATAGTCTGACGCCATGACCAATATTTATCAATTAAGTTTAAGTGGGGAGTGGGGGGTTTTGAAAAAAACTACAAAAATTTAGTTTTTTATCCGACATCGATCTTTTGACGTCGTCCCTTACTGAGAGTAGTTGTAATAAGTAAAGTCTGTGGTAAAGTGTAGTTTTTTTTTCAATTACATCATAACACGTGTTACGAGGTAGGAGTTCCATAGGGCTCCCTCCCTCACCTATAACTCATACGATATAGACGCCAAGCCCCAGTGGGCAAAACATGACAATATTTATGTAACAAAAGTACACTGTATGAGATATGTACGTGACTGAAGATAGCATCGAATACCAACTATTTGACGGCCAGTCAGCTATGACAATATTATTCCGACAACTCGATGCCAAGCGGAAAACGACATTAACATGTAGAATACATATAGATTTCGTCATGGCCGCACCCCTGTATGCATGATTGTACGTACACATAGATTGGCCAAGTTGAAGTATAAGTAGATAATATTTGGTAATCGTTGTTTCAACTTCTAAGCAACTATTAAAAATAGTTAGACGTAGTTCAAGATCGCTACAGCCCGACATTGGTTTAAATAAAGTACACATGAACGCCAGGGACCCTCAAACGATAACATTCAATTCACTTACCCATGCAAGTATTGTGAGAAACGAAAACGAACGTGAGCAGCGTCAATAAAAGTCGGCAATGACACTTCTTAGGCGTGAAAACTATCGCCATCTTGACTTGGTTCAACAGTTTGTAAATATGCAGTCACTTGTTGTTGCCGTGGTCTGTCCGACAGGTCAACCACGCTTGTTATACGGTGAACGGAAAGTTGAAACTGTCGATCTTTCTTGCGGACTAGTAAAACATACCATCGGAGAACACATTCAGTCCTTCAATGAATCCGTCGATCAATTGGCTTCTCTTCTTACCCCACTCGGTACTCCTCAATCACGTCCCATAGCGTTGCTGTTCCAACAAACATGGTCACTCCAGCTCATACCTAAAGCCACAGACATTCTTTCGGAGAAAGACCGCTCCACGGTTTGGGGAGTGGGCTCACAGAATGGAAGATTGAGGCGGAGTATAAGTTTGTTGATTGAAGAGAGCAACTTCCTGTCTGACGTATCAATTGTCTCAATCTTGATTTTTCAACGAAAAATGTCCCAGTTCCGGATTCAAGATTATGCACGAAAACACAATGTGGTGGTGCACAGAATATTGCTGTAAATCAAAAGGAGGTACTTAAAAGTGTGTAAAAGACAACTGAACAAGGACCTACTTCCCGTATGGTTTACATGTAGCTATCGTGTCGGTGATTTAGGCAGGGGCACGTACTCCCATTCTATCCGAGGAGCTAAAAAAAGGGGAGGAGCAAGCACTAAACACGTTTATATTTACTCTCTTAGAGGAACTGTGCTTCAACTACAAGTTATCTGTTTTATTCCAGACTTAGCCGCACAAATGTGATAAAGATAACAGTGTTTAGTAGTCAAATACTAGTATGATGTCGTAGTAGTGCAAATGAAGTCAGTAACTTTATTGGGGAACGTGAATATTGTGACGGCGACTTACATGTATCCACTAATAAATTACAAGTATTCAAACTTTGGCGTCGGCCAGTCATCTAGATATGTATTTAAGTATGACCAGTTCCATGGTATGACGAACGGTTCATGACGAACATTCTTACTAGCAATTGTATTTTTTTTTGCAACGCTTTATTACTTCTAAAACGATGTGTTTTTCTCTTCTCATTTGTGAATATCGTTCTGACAGTTTTCTAGCCCAGGAGCTGAGCCTCAGCGTTGAGTGAAGTGAGCAACTGAAGTAGATAGGCCCGATAAGTTGGTCGAAATCGGATCCCCGTCATAACTAATCGCCTGGCTAGTATCCGCACACACACACGCGTCAGGGGTAAAACATGCATTATCTGACATTTGGGACTGTGCCCCTAGTAACAGTCCCTTTAGACGTACCGACGCTTGGCGCTATGGCCAGGCTCATTCAAAATTAAATCACAACCCAAGACATAGTAAAAATAACACCATGAACCATATTATAAAACTCGTGTTATCCATAACTAGTTACCTGCTTGTGTCATAGATAGTAAAATGTAGTTTGCACTCGTATTGATGCGTGCAACAGTTGGCTATTAATCACTAACACACGTGCCAACACGAATATCTGTTTGGAAGCTTTGGAAAGATGATAACTCTGACGTGAAATAGGCGTATTTTTGTTAGTGGCGTCTGGAAGACATCGGTCGGGAGAGGTCATCACAGCGTCGGTAGCGTGTAACTCGAGATCCCAAGAGCACGCTTTTTCTATAATTTTTCGGGAATGAATATTCACAAGCGTCCTCCTCCAAATCTTTTAACTTGGCTACTTGCCAAAAAACATAGAAATGAATTGTGATTGCCATGGTTACAGTGTAAACGATATGAGCATGTTTCTCATATGCTGAACTGGTTCTGAAGTTGAACCCCACGTGTATGACATTACAGACTGTAAACAATATCGACTGGTCACGACTTTAATAGAATCCAAACATCTTTTTCACGACGGATCATGGCCATCCTCGATGGATTCGTGATGTAGCAGTTTTCACAGATAATAAACCCAGTTCGCAACGATACACCGACCAATTCAACTTCCGTAATAATGGTCTCGAAAAATAAAATTATGACATGTCATATGCTATGATTTCTATCTAAATATCAAATTTTAATAAATATGCCAAATACTAGTAGTGAATCATGGTTGTATAAATAATAACACTTGTATGTACTGTGAACAATAAAATACTGTTATTCTTGCTATATAATTTTTGATTAGCCAGTGTCTTTTGCATGTAGTTTGTTTTTCTCAGTTTTGTTGTCCTGAATTTTCAAAATCCTTGTTATTTATAACCAATTTAATTTCTTCCGAGAATTTTACGTGTTTCAATAAACATATAAAGTTGTAAACAGTAAAAAAAATTCGTCCAACTTTGAAGTTGCGTAGTGCATCATGGGACTCCTAGGACGCCGACAATAGCGCATGCGCATTCCAGCTAAACAAAATGGTGGGTATTACTTCACGTTTTTCTTATTTTCATGTGAATTAAGATAGTTTTCATGTTTTGTGGAGGTAATGTGGTTACCGACATCATTCTAATAAGCTCACGGCAACACATGTATGCGAAAACCCACCAGAACTCAAATACAGACTGAATTATGGCTCACTATTCTGGCTCACCGTTACTTGCACATTTTGAGTACTGACTACTGTACTTTACGTTGGTTTGTGCTGAGCCGGGCAGCCAGAATCATACGTCAAACTATTTAAACTGATTTTTTTTTCGTGGCCCGACTCTTAAACTTTTTTTTTAGAAAATGCTAGTAACTTGTGTTTGACCTGTAATTATCATTTCGTGCTCAGCTTTTCTGAAAACGAAGTTAAGTTTAGCTGCAGATTGGTTTTGCTGTGGGGTATTGCATTGAGTTTCAAAATGATTTGTCTTGTATCTTAAGGATGTTGTGAAACTGGTGGATTATATCATAAAATGATATAGGTTGTGTATGAAACCGTATACAATTTAAGTTCTCAAAGAGCATTCAGTCTTCAGAAGTCACTTCACTTTATTACTAGCATGTATTCTGCTGTTATAATTATTATTTCCGACCGTTTTGCTATTGTATTTTCTAGATTCGTTGATTGAATGCAGCATTTACAGTTCATTCAAAGTTGTGTTGGGATTATGTTGATACAGTGTAAAAATGTCAGC